CTCTCTATTATGACAACCATGATGCAAGTAGGTTTTTTTTTTTTTTGGTTATATCCATAATACAAGAATCATCAAGAAAACTCGAGCATGGCGATCTTGTTTGCGGATAGATCGCTCAATCATCTAGGCTTTTTCCGGTTAATTTACACACGGTCGGTTGGTGGGTTTGCGTAAAACTCCTTACCAAAGATATCTACTAGTCCAAAGATTAGTCGGGCATAGATCCAAACATAATCAAGAAAACATGTATTTTGAAATATTACCCGTAATTTGACCGGGAAAATCCTATTCTTTTTGTCACAGATCTCAGGGCACACTCCCAACCCTTGACCCTCTCAGGCTCCCCTGCATGTTTTTGCTTCAGTTGCTTAAAAGGAAGGGAAAACTCTCCATCAAGACCGCCTTCTCCATCGGGATTGGCTGCTCTTTTCACATCGTCCGATCTTACGTTATAGAAGACTGGAATCACAACGAGTTTCTTTTTCTTCATCTGTTCATTCATCGTCACAAGCTCATCCAAACACCACTTTGACTCACAGTACCTCTTGGAGAAGATAGCAAGCGCGATTTTTGACTTCTTGATCCTTGTGAAGAGATATTGTAGTCTTCTCCCTTTCTGCTCTTTAGTGTCTATGAAGACGTTGATCCCTGCGTTTCTTAATTGTAGCTCTAGATGGTTGACAAAGATTTCGCGCAGCTCATCTCCGCGGTAGTTGATAAACACCTGATCAGAAAGAGGTTCTTGGACCTGCTCATCCATTGGAATGGTGTCTAGGTTCGTCTGAAAAAAATAGAGAATATAGTTGGTGAGAGACTTTGTTGTCTCACTTTGTCCTTAATAAACATTATAGAGAAACCATTCTTTAATTCTTCAGACCAATCAGTGACTCGATGCCAAGTCTGCACCTATCCTCAGTCTTTCTTTAATATTATACAACACCATCGTCTCAATGGATCCGAATACTCTAAATCCCGGGTCATGGGTCGGATCAATAATGTTTTTGAAGGAAGACTATAAAGAGAGAAGCCCTTAACATGCTCATACCAATATAAATACATGAAACTGTCTTTCTCATATAAGCTTGCGGACAAAAGCAGAGTAATACAGGTAAATAACAATTAAACAGAGACGTAATGGTGATCAACCAAACAGCGCGAAACCATTCAACCACGAAATGGTGATCAATCAAGAAGTTATCTGTTCGGATGTTTCCGTAAACAATAAAGCTGGTGCAAGACACCAACCAAAACCAGAAAACCTAGTAAACACTTAACAGCTTTGTAAACTTTCACATCAGTGCAAAGTAAACGAGCTACAAAGAGACTAAAGATAAAAACCGCAGCTGAAGCCAAAACAAACACTTGTCCTTTCATAATCTTTCTTCTTTCTAGAGAGTCTGTTAGCTCGCTCTTAACCGCCCTAACGATTGCCATGACCAGACCTAAACCTGTTCTGCAAATATGAGTGAGGAAAAAAACCATTAGATGAGCTCAAATAAGTAGTCTTCCTAAGAACAAATTATCAAGAATTGGCTTCAATGTTCTTCCACACTCCATCTACTTAAGAGAATCATCAAGAAAATAATTACCCGTGTTCTTCTGAGGTTAAGCCGGTCCTCTCTACTATTGAACTCAATGAATTCTCCCAATTCAAGATCTTGAGTGGATCATTTGCATATTTCATCTTCATTTCCTCGAAATGATTACCGAATTCACCCTCGAGGTTCTTTACATCGCTTATGCTCACATCGTAGAAGACAGGTATCACCTTGAGGTTGCTTTGTTTTACGTGCTCGTGCATCTTTTGATGCTCGTTCAAACACATCTCTGACTCTGTATACCTCTTGGAGAAGATTATGACCGCGATATTAGACTCCTCGATCTTTGTGGAAATATTTCTTATGTCTCTCCTATTTGCTTCTGCTCTGTCTATGAAAACGTTGACTCTTTCATCTCTCAATCCCCACACAAGATATCTGATGAAATTGTCGCGTAATTCATCTCCATGGAAACTGATGAATACCTGAGGAGGACGTTGGTATGGTCTTGGCTCTGCCATGGGAGGATTAAGACTTTCTTGTTTAAATTTTGCTTCCTGAATTTATGGAGAAGAACATGTTCAGAAGCTGGCATGTTTTGGAAAATTTCATTTCAAATGTCAACGCTTCGTTCTTGAATTATCATGGCATTTAATATTCAAGCAAGTTTCAAGCCATGTCTCTTCTTTAATGTAGACATATACAGTATATAAAATGACATTATGTATAACTGTTTTATGCAATATATAAAATGGCATGTTGGGTAAATCTTTCTTTAATACATGGTGACATTTTTGTTCTTTTGACCAGGCAAATGGAAACTAATGACAAAATTTTCTTGTAAAAGATGATACATAACGAATGGCAAGAACATTTACTTATCACTAGATAGAAGACTGTAAATAATCATGACTCATCAACATTTAGATAGCACATAATTCTATAATATTAAATAGAACTCCGAATGCCAAAAAGTATATGCAATTATGCATTGTGAAACCAACTCTCAACCACTTAGTGCTTGGCTCTCGTGTGTTGACACTGAGGAGACAATGTGTTTCTTTGGGTTTTGGAATTGATTCTGAGTTTTGGATAGAGAAATTCACAAGCGGAGACTTTTGGGAACATTTTGCACAAGAAAAATAAAATAAAAGAGTGGAAAGTGGTTGACACCAATTAAAAAGAAAAAAAAAAAACTTGAAAGAAACATTTAACTTTAGATTTATATTTTTCTTCAGTTTCCAGATCATAAGCAAATAAAAAATGTGGAAGTCTCATTGATCTAGTAGTTGGCCAAAAGTTTAATGTTTTATACCTCCAGTCTTAGATAGTTATTAATTTTACTAAAATTATCTAACGTGGTGCACTATCAATAATTGATGCGAGGTCAAACTAATCAAAATCAAATTATTTCATATAAAAAAATATCGAATGCAACAATGTAACCAAAATGAAACTCCCAGTCTCAGATTCTTTGCGTTTACGTATTCTCATAGAAACGCAAACGTAACCATTCACCACTCACTTTCCACAGCTCGATTGATTATCAACCGACCCACAAGAAAAGAGAAAAAAGTGAGAAGGCCTAAAACATAAGGACCAAAAACTATTGTAAACAGAAGAAACAGACTTAGGAAACGGACAACAAATCTAATCAATTCATCTGTTCTTGCCGCCAAATTCTTGCGTTTCACGTCAACGATTTGTCGTTCCATCTCGGCGATATCGTTTAAAACTTTCTTAACCTCCTCAACGATTGTGCTCACCAAATCATTTTGACGACTGTCATAACAGAGATCAAAAGATTTGTGAGTGGATAAGCTTATGTCCTGAACTAACCAAGAACAGAGTCAAGAAACAGAGCATTCCAAATTTTCAACCAAGAAGAGAAGAAAAGGGACAAAGTCTAGACCTGTATCGTGATGAAGACAAGCCAGCTTTTTCTGAAACAAAAATCAAAGCTTCCTTCCATCTCCGAAAATTTTCTGGCTCGCCGCGATGCGTTGACTTCAGGTCCCGGAAATTGTCTCCGAACTTTCCTTTTAGTTTCTTCACATCGTCTGTTTTCATCTTAAAGAAGATAGGAATCACTGTAAGACTTCCTTGGTCCACGCATTCTCTGATCTTAGCAAGCTCATCTAAGCACCATCTTGACTCGGTGAAGTTCTTGGAGAAGATTGTCAATGCGACTCTCGATTCCTCGATCCTACTGAAGAGATGATCAAGATCTCTCCCTCTAAGCTCATGATCATCTATAAAGACGTTGACATTCTCTTTTAAAAGAGCATCTACAAGAAACCCTAGGAACCCATCACGAAGTTTTTCGCCTCGGAAGTTGATGAACACTTGATACTGAGGCGGGATCGGTCCAACATCGGTAAAGAGGGAGAAGGAGGAGCCCATGGAAGGAGATGGTGTTTATTTGCAGAGGAAAAACAAGAGGATTGTTTTCTGTAAGAACGTTGGATTCAATGGTTTCAATGTATTTTACTTACACAATTATATTGATTCCATGATTGATTATTGATCTACAAAGAATATTAAATTAGTTGACTGGATTTGAGTGAGTCTTAAACTAATCCGAATAATCTTAACTACAAATTTGGGTAGTTGTTGAAACAACCAAACAAAACAAATAGACAATGACACACAGTAATATATGTCAATACAATAAAATATCATACACGATGGCAACTAAAACAAGAAAACCAAATAACCACTTAGCATTCTTGAAATATCTCATATCATATCAGTGGGTGAATCACTAAAAGAGCCATCAAAACTTGCTAATCCCTGATCATGTATTTGAAGTTCTTTCTTAATTAACCGCTTTTAACTATCTCCGCGATAACATATTAACATCAAAACCCGTTCTGCAATATGCATGAGAGAGACCAACGAAGCCGGGCCAACACAAAGTATATAGTCTTTTCTGTTATAAGCCGAGAGAATTAATTTCATGCTCTTATAGCTAATGATTAGACAAAAATGATCACATATATATTAACTATAAAAATCATGAAGAAATCAATTAATACCCACCAACCATATAAGTTCGACATTAGTTTTTTTTTTTTTTTTATTAACTAAGAGGTTCTAGGTCTAGGCCCGTACATCCCTTCAGGCCAAAGACCAGACCATTTTATATGATCTCCTCCCAAGCGTCACTCGAACCAGCGACATTACTTTTTTCCACACACAGATCACAATAACTCATTATGGCATCCAAAAGATTTAGAAAGATCATCAATAGCTGCAAAAATGCATTAGACAAGTGAAGTGAGCCACTCTTGATCTTTTTTGCCTATCCTAAAATTATTCTAGGGATCATCCATAGCGATTTAAGATTAAGATCAAACACACGAAAATAGTGTAATGTATTTTGTAGCATACCTTGATATGTTGTGTTTTTATCGGTTTTGAGTCTTTGTTTTCTTTCTTATATCATATGTTTTATCGAGTCAAAGTGTTTTTTTAGAGTCTTTTAGTCGTTTATCGAGTCTCTACAGGTTTTAGGTTGCTTCGGAGGAAAACGAGCTGTTTTGGGATATAAACACACTTTTGGAAATGCAGTTTCGTTTAGAAGTGTCAGACGTTTGGCCTCAGATGGAATACTTCCCACCGTTAGATCTTTCTGAATTTTTGATACAAGTTAGATGAAGATGTTAGATTGAGTTTACAAGTGGTTTGAAGGAAATCTACCGGTGCATTCAAGAGTTATACCCGAATTAGTGAAGACAGGTCATTCTGCCGAGCTTTTGAAGCAGTTGCGGAGTTGGAGACCAGAAGATCTAGATCGATCGATCCACTTGTGGATCGATCGATCCCATCCTCTGACGGACGAGAAGCAGTTTCCAGTGACTCGGGATCGATCGATCCACCCACCGGATCGATCGATCCCTTCCCCAGACGTATTTTTGGCCCAGATTTGACCCGAGTCACTCCAGATCCGACCCGGCTCGTCTCCTATTGTTTTAAAACCCTAAGCTCGACTTTTGAGACATTATCATGGATATTTTTCAGTTCTAAACTTAGTTCTTTGGTTTGTAAACAACTTTGGGCAAAGGAATCCATCCTCTTGACACTTGGAGAAGATTTCTAAATCCTTTCTTGTTATTTCTACAATTTTATCATGTTTTCTTCATTGATTTTTGTTATCTCTTTTTCTATGTGTGAGTAGTTATCCTATTGGGTTTTAGGGTTCTAATTAGGAGATTCAATGGATTAATGGATTGATTGTTGTTAGGAATTCTCATTCTCTAGGTTCTTTGATTCACATGTTCTTAATGCTAGAATAGGATTGATCACCCTGTTGTAGATTATAGGTTTTTCTATGCATCAAAAGTGTTCGATAGAATGCCTGAAAGAATGTGAATTGAGCAATGTATTCCTAGCCAATGAAAGTTGACGTTAGGACGCATTGTGAACTTAATGAACTTGTTTGATAATGCGAATTTGACTAGGAAATTACATGCGAAAGTTTAGTAATCGAGTAGTCAAATTTAGTGATTAATGTCTTGAAAGAGAATTAGTCTAAATGTGTTCATGTTCAAGAACGGTGCTTAATCATTGAATTCCTTGTCTCATGTTTCTATTATTCGTTGATCTCTGAAATACCCTAATGCCCAATGTCTTTAATTCATAAGTTTAATCGTTTAAATTACTTGCATTTTTATTTATAATTCTGAAAACCCAAACAAAACAACTCTTCGCTTTAGCTAAGAACGAGTCTCGGAAGTCTTTAGTGTACCATTGGTTCTTGTGGATCGACCCCGTATATACTACCTTGCGGTTAAGTGTATCGGGTAATTACTCGAGTAATCAAGTTGGCGCCGTTGCCGGGGACCAATTGCGTTACCTAAGGATTTAGGATTAGTTTTTAGTCTAGAGCATTTTTATTTATTACTAACTTTCATTTGTTTTTTTTATGCCATGGAATACAATGATTGGCCGCAAGAAGAAGATGATGAACCATATGTGGAGCCACCGTTTGATGAGAGTGTTCTTACACCGGAACAAAAAGTGAAGTTGGATGAACTTCACAACGAACATCCGACATTTGTTAGGAGTGATTTAGCGATCTTGATCCGGTGTAATCTCTTATCACACCGGGCAGCATGTGAAGGAAGAGAAGTCACATTCTATGAAGAACAAGAAGCCCGTGCGCTTGAAAAGGTAATATATTGGGTTCCACCAAGCAAATTAGAAGGTACATGCGTTTCAACCCTTGAAATTCATGATGTTGAGGATATTCAGTTGTCATGCATTGAAGATGTGACTTCTAGTTTGCATACTCCCATGATCATTGATGAATGTTACGATTTGATATGTGAGTCTCAACGACTAGATACTTTAAGAGCAGCAAAACTTGCTAGGGATTACCATGAAATATGTTTTGATATTAAATATCATTGTGCTTTGAATGTTCATGATCTCGAGTTTAAGTTTTCAATGCCTGAAATATCTAGATCTCTTCTTGATGAATCTTTCCTAGGATTTGTGCTTGATATTGATAAGATTTTGCATGAGTATGAAGATCATGAGGTTGATTATATGGATGGAGATATTGTGCTATATGAGATTAATGGCGATGAAGTTGATTATTTTGTTCAAACCTCTTGTAACCAGGAAATTGACTTTATTTTTCCTCCAAATGCATTTGATCCTCATAAGCATTCAACCATCAAGGAATATTTCAAAGTATATGCTACATTTGTAGTAATTTTTCTTGATGCGAATTTTATCTCTTTACCATGGATAATATTGTGTTACTTGGCACATCTCATTTCTTGCACTAACATGAGAAGGACAAAAGGTCCATTGGCTCAACCTTTTGATTCTTATGATTAATATTTAGTGTTGAGAGGTCAAGCTTACGACCTAAAATAAGCGCTTGGTGGGAGGCAACCCACAATGTATCCCAAGTAAGTTTTTTCTTTATCTTTTTTGCATTTTCATTTTTAAAATTTTTTTCTTTTGAGTGTGTATGGCATCATTTCTTCGAATTGTTTTCACACCGAGTCGGTGTGAAGCAAGTCGGGGGGAGGATGTCATTTGTCTACTAATCGAGTTTGCTTTGGTTGTTTCTTTTGATGTTTTCTCTTGAGTCGTCGAGTTCCTTTTATCGAGTAAAAAAAAAAAAAAAATTGTGTATTTTATTGAGTCAAAATTTGTTTGAGAACTATGATCTTTTCTTGGGGAATTGCACCGTGTTTGATTACATTGCCTTGGGACCATTTTAGCACTATTCGATAACTTGGAAGTTCAGGAAAATCCATCACTTGATCACTCTATAGTAGTCCCTATCTCTTTGAAATTCGGATGAATTGAGCTTTATCTTATATATTTGAACTTAATCTGGACTTAATTTATCTCACTTAGGGGCTTGAGAATCATGTAATGGATCATACATTCAGAGTTTTGTTTGCATCATTTTCACCACTCTTTGCTAACTCTGAATGGCTAGACTCATTTTTAGTCTAGTACCACACCTGTTTCCCCCATCCATTGTTTGAAACCTCATGCATTCTTATATAATCATCATGATATGCATCCATGTGCGAAAACTACGGAGTATACGAACCGACATAGCTTTCCTTCTGTTAGGATAGTGATTTGTAGTTTACTGGTTGTTGATATGTTATGAGATTGAGCCACTATGGTTTAGAGGTTGTATTCATGGGATATGTTGTTGTCGTTTGCGGTTTCTCTTGGTGCAAATTTTGTGAGACACCGGTTCCACTCCCCTGTTTATTAAAAAAAAAAAAAAATGAAAAGAAGAAATGGGAAAGGAGAGTGAATGGAACCGGAAATGTCGAGTTATTCTTAGTTATATTGATAAGCATCAAGGGTACTCATTGATTTGATTGGGATAGTGTGTTGGTTAGTTTGATCCGAGCTTAAGGGAAGCTATGTACCTCCTAATTGGTTTGTGTCTCACTGTGATTTCGCATAATGACATGCATCCGTTTTACCCTGTTTGAGAACCCGAAACACTTGAGTCACCAAATAATAGCCCTTTCACCTAGCCCATAACGTGTTTGATATCCCCTTAGTGAGAGTACATGCCACTGCTAATAAATGTTAAAAGGTTAAGTTATCTGATTTTGGAAGTTCTTTTAGATCTCGGGACTTAATTTTGTTGCTACGGTTATGGCAAAGTACAGTCTAGTACGGTTTGATGAATTTTGTGATAGTGGTTTGCAGGAAATTGATAAGATCATGATCCCGAAGAAAATGTGAGTTCTCGTGTTTTCAAACCTCTTCTCTTGATAAGGATTTCTGCTTTCCTTGAGGACAAGCAAAGATCTAAGTCGGGGGGAGTTGATATGTTGTGTTTTTATCGGTTTTGAGTCTTTGTTTTCTTTCTTATATCATATGTTTTATCGAGTCAAAGTGTTTTTTTAGAGTCTTTTAGTCGTTTATCGAGTCTCTACAGGTTTTAGGTTGCTTCGGAGGAAAACGAGCTGTTTTGGGATATAAACACACTTTTGGAAATGCAGTTTCGTTTAGAAGTGTCAGACGTTTGGCCTCAGATGGAATACTTCCCACCGTTAGATCTTTCTGAATTTTTGATACAAGTTAGATGAAGATGTTAGATTGAGTTTACAAGTGGTTTGAAGGAAATCTACCGGTGCATTCAAGAGTTATACCCGAATTAGTGAAGACAGGTCATTCTGCCGAGCTTTTGAAGCAGTTGCGGAGTTGGAGACCAGAAGATCTAGATCGATCGATCCACTTGTGGATCGATCGATCCCATCCTCTGACGGACGAGAAGCAGTTTCCAGTGACTCGGGATCGATCGATCCACCCACCGGATCGATCGATCCACCCACCGGACCATCTCAGACCTAGATTATGTTCTCTATATAAACGTGTGTGCCTCCTCATTGTGTTTGACACATCTTTCATCAATACATTTCTGCTTCTCTCCAATCTTAAATCATGGTTTCATCAATCTTTCCTACTTAAATATTGACATGGTATCAGAGCATCGATTCTACTCTTAAATCTTTCCTCTTTGTTCTTGATAACTTAAAAGAATCGACTTTTCTTCTCAGTTTGGATAAGAAATCTTCTGGCTTCAAAGCTTGTTAGTAGCTAATCTTGGGTGGTTCAAATAAAGATTAAAGCTTGTGTCTTTGGTCTCGAAACAGTCAAGACGGTTGTGTTCTTCAAAGCTTCGGGTGATTCTTCTTCAAAGGTTTGAACTTTATCCTCTTAGATCGATAAGTATCAGATTATCTGCAAGGTTGGATTCAAGACTTAAGCTTTAGAAGGATAGTTGCTGCGGAATAGCTTGTGGTTAGGTTTAGAAGAAAGTCGGCTCCTTTCTAGTCTATTTGCAGTGGTTGTGTTTTGTGGTTGTTGGTAATGGCTCTCACGGTTCATAAGATGAGTGACTTTTTCAAAGATCTGAAGTTCTCGGTGACTTTGAATGGCAATAACTATCTCTTGTGGAAGAGAACCACAACGAATGTATTAGGAGGAAGGAAACTCACTAAATACATAGAAACCACCTACGATGAGGCAAAGGCACTTGAAGAAAACTTGGATAAAGACACTTGGAAGCAGAGCGACTTAAACGTGCTGAGTGCTTTACATTGTTCTCTAGATGCTGCTATCTTAGAGGGGTATTCGTATTGTGAGACCTCAAAAGAGTTATGGGACACTCTCGCTAATGTCTTTGGAAATGAGAGAAACCTGACCCGAGTGTACCACATTAAGAAGGCTCTTGGTGAACTTAGCCAAGAGGAGAGTGATTTTAACACTCACTTTGGAAAGTACAGATCTCTTGTAGCTGAACTCGAGATGCTAAGGCCATTCACAACAGAAGCCAAGACGCTTAAGGAGCGTAGAGAGCAAGACTTGGTGTTTGGCTTGATGTTGACCCTTAATTCGAGCTACACGGAGGTGATTCAGCATATTCTAAGAGATGACAAGGTCCCTACTCTTGAACAAGTATGCGCAAAGATTCAGAAAGAGTATGGAACTCAAGGCCTCTTTAATAGCAAAGGGAGTCTTCCTATGGCCAACAAAGCTGGAGTGGTCAAACCGGATGACAAGAAGACTTGGTTTTGTGACCATTGCAAGAAGAAGGGTCATCTTAAAGACAAGTGCTGGATCCTACACCTTCACCTAAAGCCTGAGAAGTTCAAGAACTACAAGCCAAAGGCTAATGCGGCAAATGGTAGCGATGGTGGGTCAGAAAATGAAGAAAGGGCGATCGTTCAATATGGAGAGAAGGCGATGCAAGCTACACAAGACATGAGTTCTGCTTCCACTTCTCAAGAGACCATTGTGATGAACAAAGCCGATCTAGAGAGCCTCCTTCAATCCCTTGCCTCCAAATTATATCCCGGCGGTATCTCTCTCTTTACTTCTAATTCTAGTGATTTAAACTCATTAGTAGTGGACTCAGGAGCTTCCCATCATATGATTAGTAATCCTAAGTTGTTAGAGAATATTAAACCGGCATTAGGGAATGTTAAGGTTGCAAATGGTCATAATGTGCCAATAGAAGGTGTAGGTTGCATCAATCTGTTCAATAAGAAATCTAGTGCTTTCTATATGCCTAAGTTCACTTCAAATCTTATGTCTGTTAAGAAAACGACTAAGGACTTGAATTGTTTAGCTATTTTTAGTCCTAACGATGTGAAGTTGCAGGATATTGAGAGTGGAAAAGTGTTTGGGCAAGGAAGCACCAAGGATGACTTATATGTGTTTCAAGACACCTCTTTAAATTCTGTTTCTAAGAATAATGTTTCTTCTATCTTTGCAAATTCTATTAAGACTTCAGTTGTATTGTGGCACGAGAGACTTGGCCATCCTCATTCTCGAGCTTTAAGTTTGTTAATGCCTGGTTTTTCTTATGATTGTTCAAATTGTGAAGCATGCATTTTGGGTAAACATTGCAAAGTAGTTTTTCCCAAATCCAATACGATTTATGAGAAGTGCTTTGACCTAGTGCATTACGATGTTTGGACTTCACCTTGTGCATCTAGAGATAATCATAAGTATTTTGTCACATTCATAGATGAGAAATCTAAGTATACTTGGGTAACTTTGCTTCCATCTAAGGATAGGGTGTATGATGCATTCTTAAACTTTCAAAACTATGTGACTAATCACTTTGATGCCAAGATTAAAATCCTAAGAACAGATAATGGAGGTGAATATACAAGCACCAAGCTCAAAGAACACTTGGAGAAATGTGGAATCCTACATCAAACGAGCTGCCCATACAATCCTCAGCAAAATGGAGTTGCAGAGAGAAAGAATAGGCATCTAATGGAGGTGTCAAGAGCTATGCTGTTTCAAAAGCATATGCCAAAACGGTTTTGGGGAGATGCGGTTATGACGGCATGTTATCTCATCAACCGAACACCAACCCGTATCCTTAATGATCAATCTCCTTTTCAAGTCTTAAATAATCAGAATCCTAACATTGATCATATAAGAGTATTTGGGAGTCTTTGTTTTGTGTTTGTCCCAGGTGACTTAAGAAACAAGCTGGAACCCAAGAGTACTAAGTGCGTATTCATTGGATACTCAACGACTCAGAGGGGTTACAAGTGCTTTGATCCCGTCAACAATAGATATCATGTATCTAGGGACGTCAAGTTCATGGAAGACAAGGGTTATTTTGGAGAAAAGAGTTGGGAAAGTGTGAAAGATTTGCCTAATTCGACTTCAGATAGAGCTAAAAGTCTCCGACATATTCTAGAGCATTTGGGTAATGTTAGTTCTTCACAAGAAGATGTGGAAGTTACACCAAATGTTGATACCAATGAAGCTCAAGAAAGTGGTGACAATGCAACACAAGAGCCTCAGGATATCCAACAAGAGAGTGGTAGAGAAGAAGGGGTAAGTGAAGAAGTGGAAGAGAAAGATCCATCTAGTGAAGGTGAAATTATTGAATCATCAAGCGGAGATGAGACTTATCAAGCCCCACCAGTAACACGAGATCCTATCTATACTCGGGAGAATCCAAGAAGGAGTACAAGAGAGAGAAAATTGAAGAAGTGCCTCTATAATTGCCAAGCCATGGGTCATCCAATCCAAGCAACATATTCGATTGACCTTCTTCCCGAGGAACATAAAGCTTTCATTAGTAAGCTAGATGTGGAATTTATCCCACAAAGCTATGAAGAAGCTAAGGAAAGAAAGGAATGGACTAATGCTGTGGATGATGAAGTACAAGCTATGATTCGGAATCATACATGGGATGAAGAAGAACTTCCACAAGGGAAGAGATGTGTTAGCTCAAAGTGGGTATTCACCATAAAGTATAAGAGTAATGGTGAAATTGAAAGACACAAGGCTAGATTGGTTGCAAGAGGATTCACTCAAACATATGGAGATGATTATAGGGAACTTTTGCTCCGGTAGCTAAGCAACACACCGTAAAAGTTGTTCTCTCTTTGGCTGTGAACTTGGATTGGGAATTGTGGCAAATGGATGTCAAGAATGCTTTCTTTTAGGGGGAGTTGAAAGAAGAAGTTTATATGACACCTCCTCCGGGTTTAGAAGACATAGTGGCTCCGGGAAAGGTCTTAAGGCTTCGGAAAGCTATCTATGGACTAAAACAGTCTCCAAGAGCCTGGTATCATAAGTTAAGCTCTACCTTATTGGCTAATGGCTTCAAGAGATCACATTCTGACCATACTTTGTTTACTAAACAAGATAATCAAGGTATCGTAGTAGTTCTAATCTATGTTGATGACTTGATTATCTCGGGAAGTAACAAAGAAGGTATCCAAGCTATTAAGTCTGCTTTACATTCTTCTTTTGATATTAAAGATTTGGGTGTTTTGAAGTACTTTCTAGGGATTGAGGTGTGTAGATCAAAGGAGGGACTGTTTCTCTCACAAAGGAAATATGCCCTCGATCTCCTAAAGATTACAGGAAAACTTGGAGCTAAACCGGTTGAAACACCATTGGAGCAAGGCTATACGGTCAATCGAAAGGGGGAGAAAGATGATACTCCATATCATTGCCCAGAACAATATAGAAGACTTGTAGGTAAGCTTATATACTTGACATATACGCGACCTAACTTGTCTTTTGCCGTGAATCAGGTGGCTCAACACATGCAAGCCCCTACAGTTTACCATTGGAGCTTGGTGGAGAGGATTCTGAGATATATCAAAGGGAGTCCCGGTAAAGGCATTTGGATGGGAAGAAACTCAAGCACGGAGATTGTTGGATATTGTGATGCAGATTATAATGGAGATCGCAATATAAGACAATCAACAACCGGCTTTTGCACATTCATTGGTGGGAACCTCGTAACTTGGAAAACCAAGAAACAGAAAGTGGTGTCATGTTCAAGTGCAGAAGCAGAATATAGGGCCATGAAGAAGCTTACAAATGAGTTAACATGGTTAAAAGCTCTACTTAAAGACTTCGGGATCGAGCAGAAGACTCCAATTACCTTTCATTGTGATAATCAAGCAGCCATCCACATTGCTACCAATCCCGTGTTCCACGAGAGGACCAAGCACATAGAGACGGATTGCCACAAGACAAGAGATAAGATAGAAGATGGTACGATTCTCCCTTGTTACACTAAGAGTTCGGACCAATTGGCCGATATCTTTACCAAGGCAGCAAGTAACCAAGTTTGCCAATTTATTCATGGTAAACTTGGTCTTGTAGACTTGACACATCCTTGAAAAATATTCTCCAACTTGTAGGGATAATACTCTTTTTCCCTAAGCTTGGTTTTGTCCCACGTGGTTTTCCAAGCTTAGGTTTTTAATGAGGTTATTCATACAAGTGCCAAGTTTATACACAATTGGGCATTGTGGTATAAACTTGAGGGGGAGTGTTAATCAAGAAGACATTTAACACTAACTAAGTCATAGTTAAGGGTTAAATGTAGGTTACTTGGGTTACTCGGGTTACAGGTTACTTGGGTTACTCGGGTTACAAGGCTGAATGAGGGTGTTGTTGGTCTTTGTGCACAACCCATCTCACACCTAGATTATGTTCTCTATATAAACGTGTGTGCCTCCTCATTGTGTTTGACACATCTTTCATCAATACATTTCTGCTTCTCTCTAATCTTAAATCATGGTTTCATCAATCTTTCCTACTTAAATATTGACATAAGGGACAATAGCCAATCCATTGCCGGTGGCTACAGATATTCTGCAGCTCGATCGTGTTGTACCAATGTCCAATTCGTATGAAGATCCCAATGTAGAAGAAAATAAAATGAATCAAAGAGGATCTTCTTAGTGACTGTTTTTATCACTTATAAAAGACAAACCAGTTTGAAATCCTTATCTTTTTCGTTTAAAAGCAAAACAAATGGTTACAGTGCAAACTGACAAAATTATGATAGAACTATAATCTATATTATATTAAAGCAGGACCTTTTGCGGAAAGATTTCATGGCCATTCCCTTCAACAGAGACGTTATCTACTTAATACTTACCTGGTTTGGCGTACATCAAACGGAACCCACAATCCACCACTTCACTTTTACAGCCATCAGGCAAGTAGAACTCCACTTTTACATATGTAGGGTGATAAATAGGTATAGAGTAGTAATCTTTCAAACGTGAGCAAGGGACATAGCCGATAAAAACATGGTCTGCCCCAATTCTTCCTGGTTTTGTCAAACTTCCGATATCACAATCAAATCGGATACGAGACCCGTCTTCGTTTTCAAACTGCAGTGTGCATTTTACTGAGAAACTGTCGATGATCGGATCTTGGTTCTCATGGAATGAGACAACTGCACATAGAGCTATCCCGTAAAGCATATTGTTACACCAATGTGATTTCAGCCTTGGCTCAAAGACTGATCCAACTGCTTGGTAGTGGAACCACGAAGGGACTATAAATCCAGGATAGCAAGTGTTGAAAAAAGCTCCTGAAACTATGCCCTACAAAAGCAAATGCAAAACAACAAGAGCAATGAATGGAAATAACTAGAGAGAGGGAGAGAGGAGAGAGGAGAGAGAGAGAAGAGAGACCAATTGGTAGCAGTCAAGTGCAAGTCTGTGGCATTTCCATTTTGCGTAGGATGAGATTGACTCCTTTGCATCTTGAAACAGATTGTTGCAATTAGTGAACAAGAAAGTGGAACGGATCTTCTCAAGCTGAATTACATTAAAGAACCCACGAAAGACCAGTGGATTCTCAACTGTTTCTAGTCTTTCACAACCATATACGTTTAGATACTCAAGAGATCGTGGAAGCGATGGAAGATATCTGAGATTCTCGCAGTTCTTCATGACAACACATTTCAGGTTAGAGAACCCACTGAGACTATCTTGCAGATGGATCATTGCAATATTTCTACTTAAGGACAAACGCTCTAGCGAGTTTATCTTCGGGATATCTTTGATTCTTGTGCCATCAAGCAATAAGATCCGTAATTTTTTCATGTTTTTTACAGCCTTTGGAACACTCTCAAGCTTTGAACAATTAGAGAGTATGAGTTCTTCAAGAGCTTTTTGTTTTCCAAGACATTCAGGAAGACTCTCCAGTTCTGTACAACCTTTCATATTCAATATGGCAAGTCTCTTCAGATCCCGGACGGTTGGAGGAAGTCCCTTTATTGCAGTTCCATCTAAATATAACGCTTCCAGATTTTCCGAAATCACCTCAAATTCCTCAAGTTTTGAGCAGTCACTGAGTATGAGGATTGTTAGAGAGCTCAAATTCATCCTATGAAGAAATGTGAGACTCTTGCAACCTCTCATGTTGAGAAACACAAGACTTTCCATGTTCTCCATCTCTTTGGGCAGTTTAAGCAAACTTGTGCAACCTTCAAGATTCAATCTTTCAAGATTTTTAGCATTTGACAACCCTAAAAGGTTAGTCAACTTACTTGAATAGCTGAGATTGGCCCACTTTAGTTTTGGGGTTTCCTGTAAAGAAGAAGAAGAAGAAGAAGAAGAAGAAGAAGAATTTAACCCAAATTTGAATGTTTGCTTCATATAAAACATAAGAATTGTGGAGTACAATGAGACACACCTTAACACCCTCCCAAACTTGCTTAATGGAGCTATAAGGCAGTTCAAGATTAACAAGATTCTCCGGGTTGAAGTCTGATGGAAGTTTATCCAATGGATATTTTATCCAGTGGAGATAGCTTACCTTATTTAATGGTAACTGGAACTCCCTAAATCTGTCAAATTTGAAGATACCTTCGCCTTCCTTAGGGTAGACAGAATTGTATATTTTGAGATATCGAATATTGCACATACGAAAGATTTTAGCATCAAATATCATTTCCTCCGGAACTTCAGACATGTCTAAGAAAATACCTCTCACATTTTCCATTTCCTACAACCAATTAATGACAAACTGTTAGCAAACCGCAGAAAACAAAAATGGTTAGCAATTGAAAATATAGTACAACTAACACACGTTAGAGGTTCCAATATGTTCAAATAATCTCACCAATTTATTGTTGAGCAACCAAATGATATCTTGATATTTCCACAGCCTGAGATGAACCCTTGTGACTTCAGTCAATGCTTGTGAAGCAAGTTCCTTGGCGAATGTGCATAATATATCATGCATCTCAAATCGACCACAAGAAATATTGACGAGAAACTTGTCTTGGAGATCTCTTATTTCATCCGGAATACTTGAATTTACCAGGCACCTTACATAACTTGCATTCTCTGATTCGAAGAAACATGCAATGTCAAGAAAAATATCTTTCTGCCTCTCTGTGAGTTCATCATACCTTCTTCTCAAGACATCTTGGATCATCTTATTGGAAATTAGTTTCAATGTTTTAATTCTCTGTTCCCAATAAGCCTTGTCTTTCCCACGAAGTTCTACACCAAAAGCTCTGAGGACTAGTGGGTTTCCTTTGGCATAATTCAGAAAGTGTCTGGACAGCTTTACGAAATTTCCTTCGGCATGATCCAAACCAAAGGCGTGATTGGTAAACCACAGTAAACTTCCTGTGCTGTTCAACCTCGGGACTACATAAGTATCGTCAACCAGTTCCTTGAGCAGTGACTCATCACTTGATGTAATAACAATCTTGCTACCTTTTTTGATCCAATCCCATTGACCAAAAAGAGTTTTGATCTGTTCCTTGCTACTAACATCATCTATAACAACAAAAACTTTCTTTTGGAGAAGAGCATCCTTACAAAACTCATGTTCATTCTCTGAATATCCTGTCTTGTAATGAATATCCATCAACAGCTCTACCAACAATCTCTTTTGCAATCCTCGTTGACTCTCCTTACTGACATTTGGGATAAACTTGCTCCTCTTAAACCTGTGTTTCCACTTTCTATACAATGTTTCCGCAAGAGTGGTTTTACCAATTCCAGGCATCCCAACAATTCCAACAATTTTAGTTTCGATGCAATCAAATTGTATCTTTTCTTCCAGTTCCTTAAGGCGTGGTTCTATTCCGTAGTGGGGTGGCGGCTGTTCGATGTTTCTAGATGAACTATTACCAGTTGAACTTACAGTAGAGATCTCATTGAGATGTTCTACTCCTACCTTGCATAACTCGTCAATCGTGGCTGGGCACTGAAACGGAGTGATTCCATTGTCATCGTTGGTGACTGATATATCAAGGGAGGAACATTGAAACTCATAGGAGCTTAGCGAAAATCTGTCTACATTCTTTGCCCCTGAGGCTTTTGAGATCCCGTTCAGATACTCTGTTACTCTGCTTCCCAGTGGAATTAGGGCAAGCACTCTTTTGATCGAGTCAACTATCTTTTCAACGAGCTCCCTCTCGTTCCTACAATACAAATGAGGAAAAAATTAATCTATCAAACACTAAGATATATAAGAAAAATTCAATCACAATGAGATAGTCAAACAATTTATCTACCTATAATTCGACAAATTCAAGCCTATCTTGCTTGGAACAGACTGCAGAGCGTTTTCCCAATTAGGTATATTGGGTCGTTTCCTTTTACCTTCTCCGTATAGCTTAAGTCCGAACTCTCCTTTCTGCTCTCTAACCTCCTCAGGCTTCACGTTAAAGAAGACTGGGATGATTCGGAGTTTTTCTTTCTTGACTTGTTCCATGATTTTCACCAGCTCGTCCAAACACCAGTTTGATTCAGCGTACTTGCTCGAGAAGATGGACAGTGCAATTTCAGATTGCTCGATCCTCTCGAAAAGGACACTAAGATCTTCGCTCGGGACCTCTTTCGTGTCGATATAGTATTTGATCCCGGCTAGCGCTAAGGCTCCCTCCAGATGGCTAATGAAACTATTGCGCAATTCTGCTCCCCTGAAATTGATGAACACTTGCCACGACTTGGGAAGTATTTCGGAAGAGGAGGAGGAAGAAGCCGCCATTGGAAAGTTTTGGTTGAGATCGTTTGCAGACGTTCGAATAATAAAGTCAACTTCGATAAATTTTTACTACTGTTATACAAAATGATTTACGGCTTAGTAATGCTTAGCCACCACCAATAAATATTTATTATTCAATAATATAAAAATATCAAGTGCTAATTGTTGAACTGGTAAAGTATTTCATGAAAAGCTTAGAAATCGTTGGTTCGATTGGTATTTGGAGAAAACCATATCAAATATTTTGGTCTTTGATCTGAAAGGATATACGATCTCAGCCACAGATTCTCATTTTTTACTCAAATAAAAAACAAATAGATACACATTGACCGCTATGTTAAGATCAAGAAAAATGTAAACAAAAGCTTAGTTATGTGTTTTCGATGAAAAAATGCTTCATTATTGCATCTGGTGAAATAAAAGTTAGTTATTTATTTCACCAGATACAAAGTTGATGCTTTTTTCAACGAAAACGCACATTTGAGACTTTTTTCAACGAAAACGCACAATTGAGACTTTTACGATATTTTTTCTCTGGTAAAATCCTCAAACTATAGTAAGATCTAACCTTTTTTGTTAAAGATGGTAAGAACTAACTAATTATTATTCAATTGTTCAGATAACTATATGGGCTAGCTATAAGTTATATAGATTGATAGTCCGTAATAAACTGTCTCTCAGATTCTGAAAAAAATCTTATCAAATCTTTAGTTACCATTCACCATTCAGGTCCATTGGTCGATTGATTCTTAAACGGCCAAGAAGAAAAGAAAAATGCAGATAAGTCCCAACAAGTAAAGACCATGAACAAATGTTAGAAGAAGAATTAAACCTTACTGATTATTAAAAAAAAAAAAAAAAAAAAAAAAAACCTTAGTGATTTAAAAACACATTTTAATCAATTCAGAGTTTCAGACTATTGTCTTTTGCTTCCTCAAGTGTTATATTCTCTCTTTGATATATTTGTTTACTTTCTTTACTTCTTCGACGATTGACTTCACAAAATCTCTCTCGTACCTGAAATGACAACAGAGATATATCACAAATTACAACAACAAAAAAACGATATATCACAAACTTTCTACAAGCTTGTCTACTTTTAATAGCTTTCGTGTTAAGCAAGAAAAATGTCTTTCTCCTGACTTCATACAATGAACAGAGGAAAGGGACAAGACCAAGAAAAAAAAACTTTTATTCTGAATAAGACAAAGAAACTATATAAAGTGAAATAATAGTGTAGTGTGTGTGTGTGTGCGCGCTTTGTCTAATCCTAAGACTGATCAATGATATGTCCATTCAATCATTTTTACAGTAATGAAGTGTATACAAGACTCAAGATACATTGAAGATGGAGAAGACTCAAGATACATTGAAGGTGGAGAAGTAGCAGCACACACCAAGAATCATTTGACATGGCAACATGACCCTATGACCAAGATCATTCTCATCCTTTACCATGTCTTGTCATCTTAGCTTGTGTTTTTGCTGTGTATTGATTTGTGACCACGCTGTGTATAGTTTGTATACGATACAATCATACAAATATATACATACAAATATACAATCATTTAATTTAGATGATCAAGTTTATTCTGATTGATATGGTCTTAATAGAACTTAGTGATTTACATGGCTTTGAAAGAATTTCGTAATGCTCACTTTATATAAAGTGCCAAATATGATACCAAATATTTGTGCCTCGTCAAAGTTAATTAATTTAATAATCGAATTTGGTATAAGAGGGATTAAACTATAAGAGTATCTAATTTTTTAGATTTTTATATCAATTATTTTAATTTAGTACAAATTGTATTGAAAATGATTTCAGTGCTTTTTATTTAATAAGAAAATAATTAAAAATATTTAACTATTTCATGAAATTTAAATTTATAGATGTAAAAAAAATTATTTAGTTGTAAATGTAATTTAAATCATTAAAGTATGATTAAGATGAAAGAAATGTCCTTTTTAGTCATTTTAATACAATATGCATCCAGATGTAAATGCAAACTGTTAAAAACCAATCAAACGAACAAAACTTCATTCAGATGCTCCATCTGGATGCAATACAAATTTAGAAACGAACACCATTCAGATGCATCATCTTAATGGATCATCTGAATGGATCATCTGGATGCATTATCCAGATGTACAAACGAACATGGCCAAAGCAACTTTTTTGGAGTAGACTTTTTTTGTAGTTTTGTTGGGGATTTGTGTTTGTTGGAGTGTTTCCATTCTGTGTCATTTCAGGAGAATCGTATTAGTTATACTTTAGATCTTTGAATATTATCGCCGAATTTTCCTCTCAATTTCCTCGCATCCTCTATTTGCAGCTTGAAGATAGGGATCACTTGAAGATTTCGAATCAAATAGAAGAAATTTCAGAAAAAAAACAATGGGAGTGTACTCCATGCGAATCTGAAGCGCGTGAGGTGGTATACTTGTGATATTTTGGCTTGATACCTACTACTTGTGTGGAGATCATAATCTTTCAGGATTGTCAGATTCTTTAGTTTTCCACGGGAAAAAGGCTCCTGGTTAGTTAGACATGCCATCGGATAAATGAATTAGTTAGGAAAAAATAGCGGCTCCGACTGGTAACCATTAAAAGAACAAAAAGAAAAGGAATAAAAAGAACAATGCGGAATGGAATAAACAATTTTTGAGGAACGAAAAGGAAAAGATGCAGATAATGAATAAAATGTACTATTACGATGAATGGTAACCAAACATTAAAAATATCTTTAAAGATATATTAAATAGTAAATAAATCAAATTTCAATGAAAAATACTAAATATTTTTTATATTTCTTTAATTTGAAAATTTGTATTTGAACCTAAAATTTGTGAACTAAATTTATATATATCATTTTAAATAATAATATTTAATATTAACATAAAATAAAATTGAAAGAGTAATTTAAAATATATTATTCTTTTACAATATAAACATTTTTAAATTTATTTTACTATTTATATATTTTTCAAGTGAAGTCTTAAGAGTAATTCAACATGAAATTCTTATCAAAAATATTTTTTCTGTTTATATATTGTGAAGATATGAAAATTATTATATAATAAAATACAAATATTATTGATAAACTTTATTTTTTATTTATTTTAAAATAAAAGCGAATTTTAATATTTGTTCCTTTTTTGTTCCATTTGTTCCTCATCAATTTTGGAGAGGAACATTTTTGTTCTAGTGTTCCTCTTTTGGTGAGGTATGTAGAAGAATGGTGAGGAAAAAATATTCCATGTAAATGGTAAAAATATTGAGGAACAAAAAGGAATATGACATTCCTTAAC